AGATGGTGCTCGTCCGCACGCAGTTCTGCACTGGCTCGCTGTCTCATAGAGCCTGATGCCCTCACAAGAGGCTAACTGCCTGCGGCTCATTTCAGCCACCTCCGCAAGGCTTTGGCCTTTTTCAGAGCGTATATATTTAAGGAAGCGAAATTTAGCGGACTGCCTTGCAGTTCGCTTTTCAAGGAAAGAATTAAGGAATTATTTGCCCAAATGATAAATCTATTTTTTGGAGATTCAACCAGAAAAGGTCCCCCTGGGAGATGGAGACCAGAGACCAGACCGGTACACAAGTTGGGTGAGATGGCTGGGGATGAAGCCCGGGGTGACGGGCGAGCGGGGCTGGGCTGCAGCATCCTCGGGGGTCTCAGCTCTGCCCTCCGCCTCTCCCTCCCCACCGCCGGACGGCTTTCCAACGCAACCAACTGCTCGACGTACCTGATCCCGAATACTGAAAGATGTTCTGCTGCATCTGCGGGGTCATCCCGGCGCCGAACTGCCCTCCGACGCCGCCCATCATCCCCCGGTTCACCATGCTGCTGCGGTTAGCCAGCGCGGCCTCGGGGTTAGACGCCAACGGCGAGAAGGGACTGGTGGAGGTGGGAGGGTTTCCCGGGGTCGTACCGTAGTTTGGGGGGTAAGGGAACTGCTGGGGAGGTGCTTGGGGCAAGCGAGCGGCTCCGATCTGTACCGGGAGCCCGGCGGAGGGAGGGAGGTTGTTTCCGAAGCTTTGTTGTCTCATCAGGATGGCTCGCTGCTGCATGAGCTGCCGCTGCCGGTGCTGCTGGCTGTAGAGCTCGCGCTGGCGCTGGGCCAGCATCTGGGCGTTGAGGGGAGGCTGCGGGGAAGGAGGGGGGATGCTCTAATTATCACCGTTACCTTTCGGTTCTGGCAAACGGCTCAGAGCCTCCCCCAGCGCAAGAGCCGCGGGTGCTCCCCTTCCCCGGCTCGGGGTGCCCGTCCTCGGTTTGCAAGGAAAGCTGGAAAAATCCTGAAATGCTGTAAATTGGCCCGTTTGCACCACTGCAGGGCAGAGCAGGTTGGCGATATTAAAAGATAGGCGTCTGGACGTGCCGAATGGCAAAGCTCCAGGAGCTGGAGCATCCCCCAAGCCGGGAAAAGAGGCTCTCGGTCACCTGGCTGCCACCAACCACCCCTCTCCTCTGCGGGACCCGCTTCTTGTGCCCCCACCAGGATGCTCCCGCAGGCCAGAGCCCAGGATCCCTGACCTCGACCCTTTCAGCTGTGAGCTGTTCAAAAAAAACCCCATCCCACGAGCTTTTCCATCACCATGGGCTCGCTCCCCATCTGGCTGAGCCAGATGTGTTGGAGTTAATCACCTTAAAAAGCTCGACAAAGCCATCGGCGGGTGAAATCGGAGCTATGATGGGAACCGTTTGGTCCCCTTCCCTATCACTAACACTCCCCACGGCACATTAGGGATGTCACACCGCTCCCCGAAAAGGGAAAGGCTTCTCCGAGAAGTGGAATAAAGTCACCAGAACTCGGCCACGCTTTCCAACTTCTCCTTGTACCCAGCAGATGTTTTATTCGCTTTATTAGGAGCCAAACAAGAACTTTAGGGCCTGGGGATTTGCAGGATCATTAAGAAGATTCACTAGAGATTCTGGTATTTAAAGGATGGCATCTATTTCCTAAAGATTCTTCTCAATTAAATGCGTTAGCACATTCTTCTGTAAGCAATAACGAAGTATTTACATCTTAAGCAGGTGGAGGAGCTGGAATAAGGGTGAAGCAAAAAAAAAAACCCCACAGCAGCTCGTCTTGCAGCCACCTCTCGGCACGCGGGAGAATTTTTCTCTCCCGTTAATGACAGAAGAGCAAGCCAGGCGGTGCTAACAGGGAGGGCGTGGGGATTAACCCCCAGTTTTTCACCGTGCCGCATCCCCCTTACCTGCGGCGTGATCTGCTGCTGCATCCCCGCCCGCATGTTGATGCCCACCGGGGAATTAGCTGCAAACTGGTTGAGGATTGCCTGCCGGTTTTGATGGATCAGCTGGAGGGGAGGAAAAAAAAAAGCGAGGGAGACCTTCAAGACTCCGAAGCAGGAGCTTCCCACCCCGACTGGGGTGCGTGGGGTGTTCGATCCCATCCGATTGGGATGCGTGGGCTGCAGGCAGGACCGAGGGACCCTCCGTCCCCCCGCCCCTGGCCCT